AAGTGTGACAGCTCCTACAGTTGGCTGCGAAGTGCTTGGCTCAGCAGGTGCCTGTGGAAGTTGGGCCTCTGGTCCCGAAGTCTCAGGTGCCTCACTCCACTCGCCTGCACTGAAGTCCCATGGGCCGAAGTTCCATGAGTCATCTTCCCAAGAAGTGGGGTCCCAAAGAGCCCCAATGGACCATTCATCAGAAGTCCACTCATCATTCCACATGTCGCTCTCATGCCATGAAGTGTTCCATGAATCATCGAATGACTCACCTGAAGTTTCATCAACAGCACTGACTCTCTTCCAAGGACAAAACTGAGAAGTATGCCCCTGTGTCCCACATGACCAGCATGTCATGGACCCTTTACCTGAGGCCGAAGCGCTCGAAGTGCTGTACTGCGAAGTGTTCTGCTTTCCTTTGCCTTTGAAGTTCGGTTTACCTTTACCTTTGAGTCCTTTTGCCTTTCCTTTCATGAAGCTCCAGTGACCGAAGCCACCCTTTCCTTTGCCTTTGTTGCCTTTCTTGCCTTTTCCTTTGTTGAAGTACGAATACTTCCCTTTGCCTTTGAGTGCACCTATGTCCATGGGAGCTGCTCCGTTTGATTGTGAAGTGGTCAGGATGTGACGCGACCTGAAGTACTGAACCAACACCTCACGAGTGGCCTGGTAACTTTGAAGTGCATGCGCGTTGAGACGAAGGTGCTGCTGAAGCGCGCCTTGTGTTTTGTTCATCAGCGTTGCCACAAGTACACTATCGGGAATTGGAGTTCCTGTTTGCCTTTCGTACTTGGCCTTAACTGTCTCCCAGGCGTTGAAGTCTTGCTCAAAAGTGCTTGTGTTGAACTTCCAGTCTAACAACTGAGTCAGAAGTGACACATGTCTGGTGGCATCTGGTAATGAAAATTGGCGATGAAGTCGGCGCCAGGTCTCAAACCCGTTGCCTCCTTCATTCTGCCTTACCAGAAGTCTGGCACTATCTTTCGTCAAATTGGCTAGCAAATAATGAAGTTTCCTAGAAAACGTCACAAGTCTTTGCCTAGCTGCTACATCAGTTGTGATACCATCGAAGTGGTCATCCAGGATTGGGTCAGCAGAAGTTGCTGATCTTTCCAGAATGGGAATCACTGAAGGCTCAAACATAGAAAGATAAGTGCGGAAGTTCCATTCCCATTCCTCCCAGGATGCAGGGTCACCATTAAATGGGTTCGGAAGTGGAAGCCTAAGCTTACCACCGAATTCCGACTCCAGCTCTGCCATTAACTTCTGTGCAGTCGAAGTCACTTAAGTGACCTCAATTGATTTCTCAAAAGTTGGGCTCTACCGAAGTCCTACTGGAGCACTAAGGCTCCGCTACCATGAGAAAATCCAAGTTGATCAGAAGTGATGCAAACAACACTCCTACTGTATGACCACACTCAACCCTGAAGTACCCTAGCAGTTCCCTATTTTCCTCTGTGCACTTGAGCCATGCACCGAAGTGTCATGGTGAAGTATTATGGGGTGTGCCATGCATGCAATACTTTGACATTTGTGTGTTTGTTTGTTTGTTTGTTTGCTTGCTTGCTTGTTTGTTTGCTTGCTTGCTTGCTTGCTTGTTTGTTTGTTTGTTTGTTTGTTTGTTATAATAAGGAAAGCTTTATAACCTGTTTGAACTAGTTTCTTCATAGCTATAGTAAATACACAAACTAGACAATCTTCAACAACGTGGGGCTAGAACTGAAGCCACCAAGTCCTTTAACGGCCCGTCCCTGAACATGTGGGACCGGCTCTCTATCCGGTCCATAGAAGTCTTTATAGCCTTCACCCAGCTTTTGTAGCCTTAACTTGCGAAGAAACACACACCCAATACTACCAATTTTCGGGGAATCAAATCCGTTTTGGGGGGAATAATGGTGGAATCCCTGCTCCCTTGACCTTAAACTGCTCTAACAGGCGCCTGGATAATTTGTATGGGTCCTTGGTACTTCAACCGGTCCGCGTCCATGACCCCAAATAGACACCTTCCTTAAGGAAAATGACAAGCCCACTGAGCCCAGGTCTAACAAATTTTGCAGGGGTGAGGGGTTACGCGGTTTCCCCTATTTAAAGACAACCTCGCATGCTTCCAAGAAGCTGGCGAAAGTTCATGGTTTTGACTGCTGGGCAAGGGGATAAATTTTAAACTCCATCCCTTTAAGACCTAGCGACGGGAAAATCTGCTGGAACTCCCTGGTTTTGGTGGGTACTTGGTGAACTTCCTAGAGTTTCCCTGTGCCTAGTCCATGAATCATTGGTAAATGGAAAACTTGGGGCAAGCAAACATGGCCTTGGAGGGACTTAGGTAGTGATTTCGCAGGTGATCTTCCCACTGCAAGATTGAGGCCTTTTTTCCCCCCCAAAGAATATCCCTTCAGTTTTGTTGGGGCTTATCCTGAACCTTATGACACATGATACATCCAATAAACCAAACAAACACATCCCTAGTTTCTAGTGGTTGTTTTGGGGCTTTAGCGCTGTTTTTGCGAGCACGGGTTGAGCTGGCTGGTGCTCAGTGAATGAGGGAATCAACCTGGGGATTCCCTAGGACAAATCGCGGATGGTTTATGTCGGGGTTCCATTTCTCATTCTCTGCGGATCGCAGCAGCGCGTTGGTACCCCCGTTGTTCTTGGAAGACCAAACACGCCATTGCGGGGGCCTAAAAGCGAAGGTTTTGGAGCTGAAGGTTAGAGACACCGCCCTCATGAAAAATGACAGATCACCTCATGGTTTGGAGGTCTTCCATTTGTGCCTGTGGCAAGCAAAAGGGGCCCAATTCACATCGGTGCTGCTTAAAGGGGGGCAACCGGGGACTGATTATCGGTGTTTGATTATGACTCAGGTGATCTTCCCACTCCAACGCCTTATGAACCATGATAGTTGTTGTTTGTTTAAACCAAACAAGACAAAAAACACATCCCTCGGTGTTTTGGGGGCCTTCAACGCTTGTTGGGGCTTTATAAAGCCTTATGAAAAAGCGTTAAGTCCAACAAAGAAACAAACAAGCAAACCAACAAACAAACAAACAAGCAAGCAAGCAAACACACAAACAAACAAGCTAACAATCATACGAACAAACAAACAGACAAACAGACAAACAAACAAACAAACAAACAAGCAAGCAAGCAAACAAGCAAACAAACAAACACGCAAGCAAACAAGCAAGCAAACAAACAAACAAACAAGCAAGCAAACAAACAAACAAACAAGCAAACAAGCAACCAACCAAACAAGTAAACAATCAAACAAGCAACCAAGCAATCAAGCGAACAAACAAACAAACAAACAAACAAACAAGCAAACAAGCAATCAAACAAGCAAACAAACAAACAAACAAGCAAACAAGCAAATAGACAAGAAACAAGCAAACAAACAAACAAACAAACAAACAAACAAACAAAGACTGAAAACAATGAAAACAAGCAAACACACAAAACAATCGAACAAACAAGCAAGCAAACAAACAATCAAGCAAACAAGCAAACAACCACACAAACAAACAATCGACCAAGCAAGCAAACAATCAAACAAACAAACAAACAAACAAACGATCAAACAAACAAACAAACAATGACACGAACGAACAAACAAACAAACAAACACGCAAACAAACAAGCAAACAAGCAAACAAACAAACAAACAAGCAGACACTCAGACAAACAAGCAAACAAGCACACAAACAAACAATCAAACAAGGAATCAAACAAACAAACAAACAAACAAGCAAACAATCAATCAACCAACCAGCTAACCAACAATTACACAAACAGACAAGCAAACCAACCAACCAACCAACCAACCAACCAACCAACCAACAATCAAACAAACAAGCAATCAAAGAAACAAAGAAACTAACTAGCAAACAAAAGAACAAGCAAGCAAGCAAACAAACAAGCAAACAAGCAAACAAACCAACAAGCAAACAAGCAAGCAAACAAACAAACAAACAATCAAGCAAACAATCAAGCAAACAGTCAACCAAGGAAGCAAACACACAAACAAACAAGCAAGCAAGCAAACAAGCAACCAACGAACCAACAAACAAACACACAAGCAAACCAACCAACCAACCAACCAACCAACCAACCAACCAACCAACCAACCAACCAACCAACCAACCAACCAACCAACCAAGAATCAATCAAACAAACAAACAACCAAACAACCAATCAAACAATCAAACAAGGAAACAAACAATCAAGCAAACAAGCAAACACAACCAATCAAGTAAACAATCAAACAATCAAGCAAACACAAGCAAACAATCAAGCAAACAAACAAACAAGCAAACAAACAAACACGCCATCAAGCAAGCAAGCAAGCAAAGAAGCAATCAAACAAACAAGCAATCAAACAAGCAAGCACACAAGCAAACAAGCAAACAAACAATCAAGCAAGCGACCAAACAAGCAAACAGGCAAACAGGCAAACAAGCAAACAATCAAACAAACAACCAAACAAAAAATCAAACAATCAAACAAGGAAGCAAACAATCAAGCAAACAAGCAAACACAACCAATCAAGCAAACAAACAAACAATCAAGCAAACACAAGCAAACAAACAAGCAAACAAACAAACAAACAATCAAGCAAACAGCCAAACAGCCAATCAACAAGCAAAGGAGCAAGGAAGCAAACAAGCAAACATCCACCCAACAAACAAAAAACAAGCAAACAAACAACCAACCAACCAACAAACAAACAAACAAACAATCAATCAAGGAAACAAACCAACCAACAAGCAAGCAACCAACCAACAAACAAACAAGCAAACAAACAACCAATCAACCAACAAACAAACAATCAAGGAAACAAACAACCAACAAACAAACAAGCAAACAATCAACCAACTAACCAACAAACAAACAAACAAGGAAACAAGCAACCAACCAACACACCAACAAGCAAGCAAGCAAACAAACAAACAATCAAACAACCAAACAAACAAACAAACAAACCCGTGGGCGCGTTTCGCGTGCTCGTTTCGGGCCCCGAGGTGATCTTTAGCCTTTGGATCGCGGACCGCACATCCCACGCAGAGCGCGTGGCCTTCTTCGCGGCGCTGGCGGCGGCCATGGACCTCGAGCAGATCGTGACGCCCCTGGCGGCCTTGGCGGCCTCCAGCAGGCGCCGCAAAAGAAGAAAACCATTATTAAACATATATTTATATATAGCAAGAAAAAGAAAAAGAACAAAAACGGGCGAAGAGGGAGGCGTTTTTTGTTGTGTTATTGTTTTTGGGAGGGGGGGTGTTGTGTGTTACAACAAAAAAAGAGAACGGGCGAAGAGGCGGTGTTTGCCGTGTTTTTTTGTTGTTGGGTGTGTGTGTGTGATGTGTTCTTCTGTCTTTGTTTTGTCGTGTTGTGTTTTGTTTTGTTGTTTTGTTTGTTTTGTGCTGCACATGTTGCTTGTGTTTCTTGTTTTGTTTTTTTTTGGCCGGTTTGCCTTTGTTTTGATTTGTGTTGGTGTGTTGTTTGCTTTACTCTGTGTTGTTTTGTTGTGCCTGGCTTTGTATTGTTTGTGAGTGAGTGGTTGGCTTGCTATTTAATTTAATGTGTGTTGTTTCGGTTTGCTTGTTTGCTTGTTTGTTTGTTTGTTTGTTTGTCTGTCTGTTAGTCTGTTTGCTTGTTTGTTTGTTTGCGTGGTTTCTTTTGTGTTGATTTGCTTTGTTGTGGTAAATTGTGTTGTGTTGTGTTTTGGTTTGTTTTTTGTGGTTTTTGTCTGTTTCGTTTTGTTTGCGCTGTTGTGTTTGATTGTTTGATGTGTCTGTCTTGGTTCGTTTACTGTGTATACTGCTTGTGTTTGTGTTGTCTTGTCTTGTGTTAGTTTGATTTGGTTATTTAGTCGCTTTGTTGTTTGTTTGGTTGTTTGCTTCTTAGTTGTTGTTTGCATGTTGGTTTGTGTGCGTGTTTGTTGATTTGCTTGTTTGTTTGATGACTCGATTGTTTGTTTGTTTGGTGGTTTGTTTGTTGGTTGGCTGGTTGGCTGGCTGGTTTGCTCGCTGGCTGGCTGGTTTGCTGGCTGGCTGGTTGGTTAGTTGGTTGGCTGGCTGGCTGGCTGGCTGGCTGGCTGGCTGGCTGGTTGGTTGGTTGATTGGTTGGAAGGCGTGTTCGCGTTTTTGTTGCAAATGGGTGTATTCAATCAAATGGGACCTCTAAAAGTGGAATAGATTCCCTGCAACACCCCGCGAAGTGGATGGATGCCATTCTTTGGGAAGGTGATTTGTTAGCTGTGGTTCTTGCGGTTTGGTGGGTTTTGCCATTGGTTGAAATGCTTAAGACTTGGTGATGTTTCATTCCTTGCTGGTTCCCGGCCACCCGGTTCCTTAGCTTTTTAGCTGTTTAGTGTTTCATGAGATTTCCGAATTTAATCCACTAAAAGTTATTCACTTTTAGCAGGGGCTCTGCAAACGGACTGCCCAGATTCTGTTGTCTGGGTTTAGTTGGAAATCAGACCACTTGTGGAGGGGCCAAAAACTATCTCCGTATGAGTAAAGTCGGGTTGATAACTTGCTGGTGCTCAGTTAGGAATGACCGTCCGGGTGTTGGGAATGAACCTAAAAAATCCCTAGGAAGCCACAAAGGATGGTTTATGGGGGTCAACATTACCTGGTTCCCTTGCTCAGGAACTGCTTGTTGCTGGCGACATCTCTGTCCCTGGCCTCCGTATTGAGCACGGTGTTGGGCATCCCTGAGTCGATGGACGCGCCTCGGAAAGCGGAAAAATGGCTCTCTCGTGGTTTCCCCGTGCTTTGTTTACGACTATTCGTTCGTTTCCCTTGTTGGTTCTAAAGTTTTAAAGGGAATCTATCACTACTGGACATGTTTGTGTTTGTTTTTTCCAGGGAGCTTAAGCAAATGGAAGTTTCCCTTTGCTTTGCGGCTTTCCTTACCAACTGGAAAGGCTGCGTTCAAACTTCCTCAAACATCAGCAAAACTACTCTGGCGAGAGTTTCAACCACCAAGGAGGAGCCGCTGAAACAACCTAGGTAGTTTCCGCCAAGTACTGGCTCCTTTCCCGAATTTTCCGCTGGATTCAGTTTTCCCAACTCATGTCGGTTTCAAAGGCACCCTCCGAATGTTTTGGTTCAGGGCGGGACTCTAACAGCACACAACAAAAAGCCCCATTGGCCATGTTAGGTGGTTCTACTGCCTGGCTTCATGCGGTTTATGGCAAGGCCGACGTTTGAATCAGTACAACCACCAGAATAAGACAAACAGATTCCTGAGTGTTGTGCTGTTGTTGCATAGTTCGTTGAATTTTCGGGGGGAGAAGGGGGGGGAAGAAACTGCAGCTATCATTGGACAAGCCAAAATCTTGAGAGGCTCAGGGCTCGAGCATTTGGCCTGTCAGCGGTTGCTCTCAGAGTCTTCCAATGATGTTTTGTTGGGTTCCTGAATATGGGACTTTGCAAGCGTCGGGTGTCCTCACCTTGGCCCACAAATTGCCTATTGATTTCTGATTCACTCGAGATCACATTCAGTTCCACGATTGGCAGCAACACACCAAGTAGCATGGTCCTTCCGATGAATCCGAAGTCGACATGTTGTGCTGTCTGATTTCGTTTGAGGCCGCGACATGTTGTTTGCCGTTCGCCAGCTTGACGGAAAGCCCAAAACAGCACGCCCACTAAACCGTCGAAGCAGGAATCTCAGCGGCGACCTCTGTCTGGCAACTTGCAGCCCTTCAGGCCAGTGTTTTCGTCTTTTTTGATGTATGCCCATGGTCTAAAGACTTTTTTTTAACAAACAAAATGTGTGCCTAAAGACACCTTCACCTGGGGTTAACGTCGGGAGAATCATCCACATGGCAAGGATCCTTATTCACCACTATGCTGATTCCTATTACGGAAAGCGTGACCATAGGCTATTTCAGGAGTTTTGACCATGGCTTACGTCGTGTGTGTGTGTGCCGTTGTTTGTGTTTGTTGTTTCTGCCTTATCTGTCTTTGGTTTGCTTTTTTGTGTTTGTGTGAGTGTGTGTTTGTTCGTGTTTTTTTTTGGGTTTTTTTTAACGGTGGTGTCGTTGTTTGCTTTGTTGTTGTGTTGTTTGTGTTTCTCTTTGTTGTGTTCGGGTCGTTGTGTGTCTTGATGGAATGGGTGTGTGTGTTCCATTGTTCTTAGCATATGAGAGTCGTCTAAAAGGTCCTTGTATTGAGCTATGAAGGGGAAGACCTTTTGGTCTTGGCGTTGACCTCCGCGAAAGTTCCGCGAAGGGGGTCGCGAAAGTTAATTGTTTATTCGCGAAAGTTTTGTGTCAGGGTGGCTTGCTAACAGGAAGCTGGAGTGATGAACCACGTGTATTTACCGGCAGTGCGGGCAGAATGCCCGCAGACTAAAGTTGGTCGGAGAATGCGCAGCCTGAGGGTTGCCGCAAGAATACGCCGCTGCAGAAGCAACCCCCAGCGAGCAGAAACCGGCTTGTGGGAGTTTTGAAGCTTTCGGGTCAAGTTGAGTGCAACTTCCAGCCGGGTTTTCGCGAATGTTTGGCGTACGATCCGCGAAAGTTTTGCGAATTTCGACGGACCTCCCCGCCAGTTTCCTTCTGGACATGAGGCCAACGGGTCCTCTCGTGTGTAGCTCACGGCTTGTGAGCTGGAGCTGCGGAAACGCGCTTCGCGTGCTACTTTGGAACTGAAAGGTTGCGACTTTCGAGCTGGGGCTGCGGAAGCTTACTTTGTGTACTACTTTCGTATTGGAAAGTGTTGACTTTCGAGGCTGCGGAAGTTTAGCTCATGCACTACTTTCGTATTGAAAAGTTGCGACATGCAAGCCGGGCTTCGGAAGTTTACTTTTTGTACTACTTTCGTATCGAAAGCTGCGACTTTCGAGCTGAGGCTGCGAACGTGAAAACAGCCCCGCGAGAGTTCCGCGATGGGGTCCGCGAAGATAGTTTTTCTCGCGAAGATGGTGGCTTCCGGAACAAGGAGTTTCAGACAACTGTTATATGATGTGCGTGTTTTGTATTTCTGTTCTGGTGTTGTGATGCGTGATGCCAAAAGGTTTCTCAGATTGTTTATATGTTTTGGGGTTGTTGTTTTTTTGCGAGGTCCCTATGGCGCGTGCCCAGTTCCCAGGTGCTCTTTGCTTCAACTGGACTCAGATCTTTGAAGTTGCTTGAAAAGGACAAAGGCGCCCAACCACTAGCAAGCAGGTGGCGTGTTGAGTCTTCGCGAGGCCTTTTTTTGTTTAATCTTCCATGGCGCCAACTACTTGGTTAGGAATCCTAGATGGCCGGTTGAATCAATCGTTTCACCCACCCGCTTTAAACGCAATATGTGTGTGTGATTCACTCGCCTCGCCCTGGAGGCTTCTGAAGGCATCTGGTCTGATCATGCAGAAGAAGTACAGAGGGCTCACCATCTTGATGTTGGTGAGCAGCGCCGTGCACGCAGGCCTGGCCATCACCTGAGCGAGTTGTTTGCACTTGACGAAGGGTGGAACGTATCTGATTCCTAGGCTGAGGGCTCAGCATTTTTCCTACCCAACTAGGTCCCCAGTAGTGCCCGTTTACCCCTTTTGGGGAGGGTTCCCCTACTACAGAAAAAAAGGGTACCCTGATTCTAACCTCTCTATATGGAGGACCTAGCCACGCTCGATAGAGCAGTTGAGTTTAGGTCAAACATTGGAGCCTTGGCCAAGGCTGCGGGGCCATTTTCATGTTCTACATCAAGGCGCACTGGGGCGCCACCATCCAGGATGTGGCGCCCATCATTTTTCTCAACGGCATCAGCAACATGATCGTGCAGGTCTTCGTGGTGAAGTCCCTGACCAAATGTCTCTCGGTGAGAGGCGCGGAGTGCGCTGCTGGGCACATGCGTAGATCTTGGGAAAGGTCGGTTCATGGTTGTTGTTGGGACGCAGGTTTTTGTTTATTTCTTTACATTTTGGTGTCTTTTTGTGGTTGAGTGGGAAATCCAAATCCACTTAACTGCTACAATTCGAATTGTTGCTCCCCGTCCAACGTGAACCAAGAGCTCCCTGGCAACTCTGTTGGCGCAATCGGGCACCGTCCTGGCCTTTGACAGGCGTGGCAATTATGGAAAGCTCACCGGTCACTACTGGGGCTCTGCGATGGTCCCCAAGAATGAAGCTCTCCAAGTTAAGAGGGAACATCCCTACACTTTGCGGGCTCCATTGGAGTTGCTGACAACCATCTGCCTGTTTTATGGCGAGCTCTGATACGAGCTCACTATGATGGTCCTTTTCTGGGGGATCTATTTCTTGTTTCGAATTTTATAAGGTGGGATCCGCTGAACCTCCTCCCTTTGTACCAAAGCGAAGACTGAAACAGGCCTCATCCCTCAAACCTTCCGGAGGCATCATCCTGGTGGGCTACTTCTTCGGCGCGGTGAATTGCGCGGTGATCTCCTTTGTCCCCAACTTCCATGACCTCTACTTCTTGTCACTGACCACAGGCCCAGCCTCTGTCAGTTCAGTGGCACTGATTCTGTTTGAGGGTGCCATGTGGTTTTGGGGCAGGGGGGGGTGTAAAGGGAACCCAGAAGTTGAGAAGCACAATGTTTGGTTCACCCTATGTTGTACACTTATCCAGATTCCCCAAATCCCTTTCTGCTGCTGTTGCTGTTCCCCACCAGTGAACAGTCCTGCTCACTCCCTGAGCGTGTGGACTTCATACATTGTTGGTAAGACGCTGGTCAAAGGCAAACAAGAAGTTTGAAACTATTTCGTTGCAACTCCATGGAATTCAGAACATCATGCTCAGTGGCCAAAAAACAGCTGAGAATTTTCAGGAAGTCATAGAATGAGGTCATTTCTCAGCGAACAGTGGAACAAGCCTCTGTCGCAAGCGGAGGCCTTGGGGTCATCTTCAACCCCGCCATCCAGACCATCTATTTGAACGCCGCCGGTCCTGAGGAGATGGGCAAAGTCCAAGGCTCCTTCGTGGGTTTGGATGATTCAATCGGGTTTGTCGCAGAGTAGAAGAACTCAAAAAAATAGTCGGCGTCCGATTCCCGTTTGCCTGTTAGACCAACCAAAAAGGGGCACGACACATCCATATAAACACTTAACAGGCGTACCAGGTTGTTGGGGTGTAGAGGGATCTTCTTGGTCCTGAGGGCTTTTGAAGGTCGCAAATTGTTTGACCCAATGTGTTTGACCGACTCTCCAATTGCGACTCTTCTTGCGCAGATGTGTCAAGATGAGTCGGATTCTTTTGGGGGGCAGTCGTCCAAAAGCCCAAAAGCTCAGCAGGAGTGTAACTTGCTTTTCTCAAGGAAATGGGTCATTCCAGGCAGACCCCGTGTTTGGGCGATGTTTCTTTCTGGCCGGACGAATATTTGAAACTTGATCATTAAAAGGAGTTGGGGAAGCGGGCAACCTCTGGAATTTCATTCTAGTCCCATTTGAAGACTACACAACCATCATTTTAGGCCCCTTATCCAAACCCGCCTCTCTAGAATATGGATGTGTCTCTGAAATCAGTTTAACACCCAGAATGGCATCCCAACCCTTATCGTGGGTTTCTTTTCAACCTCAAAAGGCGTCCACCAACAAGACCTGACCCAAACTGAAGGGGGAAGACTCTGACACTTCTAGGGGTGCCTTCCATTTCCATTCTTTGCAGGGATCCGAATCTTTTCGGGAAATCATCAAACACCCAGAAAAACGGATCCGGTTTTTGAAAAGAACAATGGTTGAAAAGAATGGACAAGGAATCAACCCCTAGAACACTGGGGCCACTTCAGTTTTCATTTATTTATTTATTTTCGGGTGGGACTCCGCCGCTCCGCTTCTTGGGCCGCGCCTTCGGCCGCGCCATCGAGCAGGTGCCGTGAACTCGGTGCAGACGTTGACCGGGGGCCTGGGCCCGGTGCTCTTCAGCTCTTTGATGGTCAGCTTCCAAGCGCCCCACTTCGGCCTCACCAGGACGCGCGCTTACCGCGACCGGGCGGCGGGGCTTGGGCCGCGCGCGGTCGCTGAGTCAGCGCTGGGCGGTTCCGAGTCGTTGGAGTCGGCGCTGTTTCTCTTGGGGAAATTCGGGGCGTCGTTTGCCGCAGGTGGGGGGCATGCGGCGGGGAAAACTCGGCGGCCAATGGAAGTTGAACTGAGCTGATGTTGTGGTCGACAGTCCCAATGTTGCACGCAGTCTTGGGTGGAACTTCCGTTTTTTTCTTGTTTGGCTTACAAAGGGCACGTTCATTCCCTTTGTTCTGTGGCAAATGGACGTGGAAGGCCAGCCACTTTCTGCCACTTTCTGTGCCGTTGGAGTGATCAATGATGGTTCTCAGCCATACCCTTCGGTTTTTGGGTTCAGCGGGGGTTCCATTTCGCCCACCAATTGAACTGTTAGCGCTATAGCAGGGTAGTTGAACTTTTAGCAGGGTTTTTCAGCACAGCCCAGGAAAAGCTTACCCCTCTGGATGTGTTGATCTTTAACTTGTTCCCGGCCTCCAAGCTTCGGATTTTTGGCCCGAGAGAGTACGCAGCGAGATAGGTCGGACTCAACGAAGGAGCGATTTGAGCTTCGGAGGGATTTGCAAATTCATAGTGAGAAGGAATTGAGAGATGACGTGTCGAGGAGTATCTATTGCGTGCCCTACCTTTTGACCATCTTCTCCAACTTCGTTTGCAGCTTCGCGGTGAGTACCATGACTCTGCCCTCGCCCGACGAGAGCCCGGAGCACACCACCTCCACCACCTCCTTGCAATGCGCCTCATGACACGCGTCTCACGCGTGAGACGGTCCCACCGGAACGCCGGCGAATGCGCAAAAGACGTAGCGGAATCGGAAGAGGCAAAACGTCGTCACCAGAAGCGACCAGCAGCTGTTTCTCCTTGGCTAGCCATGCCATTCCTCTGGTTTCGCAAGTGTTTGCCCCATACTGCCAAAGACGAAGTCTTCTGTGTTTTTGCCTAGGAAACAAGCTCCGCCCAAGCGAACACTCGAAAACTCGAAAACTTGGGCGTGGGTTAGCTTCTTAGGTATGCTGGGTTAGCCCACCAGCGCCCAACCTTTGAGCTTCCGGAAATGGGCACCTGGTCCCTTTTTGCCAGGGGCCGGCGGTTTTTGGTGGGTTGCCAAAGGGGGAACCAAAAGGAGAAACCCGGCTAGTTGGTGGGTCTCCCGAAGAAAAAAAAGAGAAAGAAAAAAAGAGATCCCCCCAAAGGAGGCTCAGCGCATAAAGCCTCAATGTTGGTTTAAGATGGTCTAACTTGAGGTGACCCTATCAAGAAAAGGCGGAATATACGTGTTGATTATATTTAGTATGGCCAAGCTATGCTTCTCAAGCATCGCTAGGTATCCTTCAGCCTGTTAGAGGGTAAATGGAGCTTTCAAAGAACACCTCCGGCCCACCACTCCAAAGCCTTTTTGAGGTCAGGTCAGAGGGTGTGACATTCGCGGCATCTTTTTCGGCTCGAGCAAAGGAAGGCTGGGCCAATTTGCGAGCACGAAACAGAAGCTACCCAAAGCTTTCGGTATGCGAGGAATTGCCCCCTTTGGAACTTAACTATGCAGGCGCCGTTCTTAAGATGCGTTTTTGGTTTGTGGGGAAATTACTGTGCTCCCGGACTCCCTGATGTGCTTTGTTGTTTCTGGTGCTAAACTGGATCTGCCCCTGGCCGGCAGCCTCTCTTCAATTCCAAGGCTGTGCGTTTTTCAAGTTTCGCGGACCTTAAGCCAAACTCCCCAATTTTTGTTCCGGCCTTCGGGCTTGAGGCCGTCTTGGCTTCGGTTTTTCGGCCCGGAAGATTGAGGGGCCCAATGTTGAATGCAAATTCCAAGCTTTGAGTGAGCAGAAGCCTTGGTCCGGTTTCAACGGCTCGGCGGTCGTGTAGCGGCATGGAGTCCCGGCAAGTCGCCCCTTTCGCGTGCTGAAACCTGCCGCGCTCGGGCGAGCGATGGATGACATCGGAGGCCGGGATCGAAGGATCGAGTGCGATGGGACACGGGGTCTAGGTCCCCCAGCTAGGTGCCCTTTGACTCTCCTTTTTTTGGGGGAGGGTCCCCTTACTAAAATAAACTACAGCAAAACATGGTTGTCGTTGGGAAACATTTTACATGGTTGCTTATTGTGGTTTAGTGGGAAATCCTTACTTAACTGCCAAAATTTATTTGTTTGCTCCCCTTCCAACGTCAACCAAAAAAATCGGGCACCCTTAGTCCAAAGCCTCTTCGCTGGAGGACCTAGGGTTGTGATGCCACTTTCTCAGAGCCGAGGGAACCAATTTGTCACGCTCCGAACCCTGGGGATTTGCGTCACTTTCGTTTGGAGCAATTTGGTACACAGCAGGTTTGGACTTTTCCTGGCCAATTGACTGAGGAAGTGAGAGAGTGATGACGTATTCATGGGAACATCACGGGTGGTTTTCACATGCATGCTGACTACATTTGGACCCTGCCCACCGGAAAGGTTCTCAGAACCACTTGGAGGTTGATCAATATGTCCTTCAGAGTTTCCGAAAACCACCAAAAAGATCCAACAATCTAATCTAGGTCCCGCAGTAGTGCCCTTTTACCCCTTTTTTTGGGGGGAGGGTTCCCCTACTAAAGTAGACTACAGCAAAAGGGTACCCTTATTCTAACCTCTCTGCTGGAGAACCTAGTGATATATGTCCCACAAAATGGGAAAAGTTACCCGTGGACATGTTGGGACCAGGAATATTGATGAATCGACCCCCACTTCCCACTTCCAAGAAGGCTTGTGCCAATTCTAGGAGGGCCGCGTTTGCTTTGTCCCGAGCTCCCAAACCTCGCTTGAGCGCCCAAAACCTTTTTTGGAATTGCCGCTGTCCTTGACTTGAGGATCCTGTTCCTGGTTCAAGTTTTGGATTCATTGTGGAGAGGGGATGTCCCCTCGCGGAATGCTGCATTGATTGTTATGTTCCCAAAAAAAAACATCCAGGGCACAGATATCGAACTCACCGATTCAGGAGCTAAGCGAGCTTCCTGATGAAGCGTCTTTTGGTTGTTGCGGTCCTTCTTTCCAGTTGATGAATCCATATTGAAATTTGGTCAACACTTCCTGTCTCTTGTGGTTCATTTGGGAGGGAACTTACTACATTTCCCACAAGAACAAAGGGACTCGGAAAATGTCCCGTATCCTCTTGAGGGCAACTAGTCATTTTGACCGTGCTTCATCTGGGACGAGCCCTGGCTTTCTGGTTGCCATCGTTGGGTCTCGGAAATTTGGATTTTCAGGCTGACTTATGCAAGATAATTCCTATAGTGGATCTCGGGCAAGCCCATATTGGCCCTTCGCTATGTCCCTTTTGTTTTTAAATGTGTTTAAAGGGTGGTTCCCTTGGTTACTTGCTATACAGGTAAATGGATCCACTAAAATATGCAAAATCTCACTTGTCCAAAGCGAATCGACCTTTTGACCTTTTAGTTTTCCTGTTTTGGCACCCATGTTTAGTCATGGTCCCCAAAAGGTGATCACCTTTTATTTCCGGGTCCAAACTGGGCAACTTGTATGCATAAGTATGTTTTTTGGTGTACTGCAAAGTTGGATGCGCAACTCAAGGGAGAAAGCAACCTTCATTAGGAGCCCCGTTCAAAGAACCCTACAGTATCATTTGTTCCTCCCCCCCCCAAGCCAAAGAAACAAAACATAGCCCCCCCCAGAAAAAAAGAAGAGAAAACAATACCTGGATTTTGGTTTCCATTTGTCTTTTCCGCTAAAACCACAACAGAAGCTACCCTCCAAAAACACTACATGACGAGCCAGCCTTGGCTACCCCGAATCCGAGGTCGGCTGGAGTTTGTGGATTCCTTGAAGCCGGACATCGCTCACTACCTCGGTGAGACCGAGCCGCCCGACAAGCCGAACGACTCCGCCCCGAAGGCGAGAGAAAATGCGAAAAGCTCTGGGCGGTCTAGAAGATGTTATGCTTGGGCATTTGTAAAGGGGAAGAAAAAACCCGAAGTCTTTGACACGGAGCAACATGACTATGTGATTCTCTTTTGATTATGACCTACTTCATCATGATGCGAGAAGCCCATATTACATGTGATGCTCTTTTGATTGCATACTTGATTGCAAAGTATCCCACAACCCCGTTCTAGTTAGGCCTGTGTTGCTTATAGCGCTTGTCGTCCCTGTTTTTTGTGTTTTTTTTTAGGGATCGTGATCGTTCTCTTGGTGACCTGCCTTGGTACCTGGACTCAAAGGACCAAATTTGTGTGACCAGCCAACCAAGCCCTTGCAATGGTCAAAGTGCTTCATTGTTGGGAGTTGTTTAAGGTATAAAGCCTATTAAAATCTCAAAATGATAAACACAGCAGGGCAAATTTGAAGCAGAGCCAGAAATTATAGACGTCAAATTACACCTGAAGACTGTACCGAGCGGCTTGGAATATGTCCGAACAGGGTTCCATTTTTGGACTATCCCGAGGTAGACAAGACTTAACCCAGGGGTTCCCCTTCTGGCCAGGCTTGGGTTTAAATGTCTACCTTGGGTTCAAACAGGTGGATTCTGAATTCCTGAACTTTCCGCTTTTCGGGTTTGGACCATTTTAGTGGCAAATAAAACGTTTGGGTACATTTTTGGGGCCATCCACTCGGGAGGGGAGAATCTGTAGTTCTGTATCCGAAGATTTTGGGGGGAACTTAACCACCCCTGGGGTTTTGTTCGTCTGTTCGTCAACCTTGGTGTAGCCAAAACAAAATTGAACTGAACCCCCCCCACCCCTTGCTGGGGTAGTCAAACATGGGCACCTTTTTGTATCCGAAGATTCTGTGGATGGACGCAATCCTGCACCGCCTGAGGAATCCTAGAATGATTTGATTCCCCTGTAAATACCAACCAACGTTATGGTTTCAGCCACGGTTTCAAAGTGGTGGGAGAAGCGGATGTCGCAACCATCCACAGTATTACAATGACTATCATGTATAGATTAGAGATATCTTTTCACCTTTCTCCATTGGTTTCAAAGTGGTGCGAACGGATTTTGCAACCATCCACAGTATATGTTCTGTGTATCCGGATGCGAATGCATCGCCTGTTTCAGGCTCGGGCGCTCGACCTGGGCGATTGGCTCACCTCCCAGCGCGCCTCGGTGGGATCTCTGAAGAGTCAGCCGGGTTTGCCTGCACCTGGCGAGTTTTTTCGGGACTCACCCCTCCCCCCCCCAGGGAATTTGATATTCGGGTCCCGCTATGAATTTATGGGGCTCTTCACCCAGGGTGCCCATGCCAGCTAAACCAATCTGAAAGGGGGGTGTACCTAAACCGATTTAGGGGGAGTAACCCCAAATCCTGAAAAAACATGGTACCAGCAACAGAAGCCTTTTATGGGGAAGACTGGAGAAATGGAATTGGGGATGCCCCACCCCCTCCTCGTTAAGGTAGGGGGGGATCTCCAAACATATTTGATATTTTCGGGTAGACTGAATTGGGCAGAGTCATAAACCTTGATTTTCAGCGTACCGTTTTTTGTGGGCAAAGATATGAGAGGGTTTGTTTTTGGAGGTCACCATCGCCGCCCTTACGTAGTTGTTTGGATTGGATTTGTTGGTTTGTGAGGTCTGAACTCCAGTTGCCTTGAAGCCAAGAAGCTAACCCCGAAGTTGCCACCACCAAACCGCCAACGAGGGGTAGAGTGTTAAGGGAAGCGAAACGGAAACCCCAGCTCCACGGAGAACTCTTTGACATAAATGCGGCTGCTGTGAGGCACAATCAAAACCTGGGTGTTGTTGGGAAACATCTTGCCATTAATCAACTTAGCTGCTAAAATTTAAATTGTTGCTCCCCTTCCAACGTCAACCAAGAAAACCTGGGTAGTTGAAGATTAACA